AAAGATGTGCTTAGGCTTAAAGAAATTTCTGGCCTAAGATGCAAGTGCCTTATAAATTAAAAATATTTTACACATCTGAATTACTGGTAATAGATAAGTAAAGATTGATAGCATGGCCTTCATCTGAGAAATAAGCTAATGATGCTTTATTTCTCTAGTAAAAATATTCATAGATGAAATTTATGAAAGTCATAAATATATGAAAAATGATAAATATGAATATTTGATAATAGTCAAAACATACTCTAAGTGTTTAATGTTAACAGATAGAAATTTTATATTAATTATAAACCAAATCCTTTGAGATAAATGCATTTTAAGCAAGTAATACCAAATATTACCTACATCTTTTGTGATTTATCATTAGATACCATCTTATCAAATGTAGTAAGCCTTTTACTGATCATGAAAAGGAAATCCAAGGGACAATTTAATAGGAACTTAAACAATCCAGTCATATCAACAGTTGTCTGGATTGTTTCTAAGACCACTGTGTACATTAACTACCTTCACTTTTGACACTCCAGATGAAGGGTTATTCAAGGTACAATGCTCTCACTTTTTTTTGTGGGCGTGTCCCGTACATTATTTGTGACTCCTACTAGTTGCCTTTTGAAAATCTAGGATTAGGTTGTTTTCCAGTTGTGGACATTCATCTAGACTCCTTGTTCACCCCCAAAAATCTCAGCTTAACTGTTGGGAGCAGTGAGACCCCAGATCCTGAATTTCTTGTAATCCCCTATCTGAGTGCCTACAGCTGCTCTGAGCACGAGACCGTCAGGAGTTTCTGATGGCAGGAGAGTGGTTTCTGGTGGGTTTGGCTGGGGCATGGCTATCTCTATATAATCTGCCCCTGAACACAATAAAGGGGGCATTTTTGGGGAATTCAAGTATGACCCGTGTCGCTGTCTCTCTATTTGTGTGTTTGTGTATTTTAACCTCGAGCCCCCTTGCCCGAAGCTCGTGAACTGGGTGCCAGTGCACAGAGCGCAGACACGGGCCCTGTGCACGGCACTTAATGAACATGCAAATGCTGCCAATTGACCGATGTCCATGGGACGTCCTTGCATTTCAAAGTCATACATGAATCAGTTCAAAGTGGCTTGGAGCATACGGGAGGCTAGGTATTCTTAAGTTTCTCCTTCAGAGTTGCATGACTTGTGTCCCCAGTGCTATTATAAAAATGGCTTTCTAAGGAAGCAGAATAATTTGATATATGATACAATAAATAGAAAAGTGAGCATAAATATGAAATGGAGAGAATTTACAAGGTGGCTATGTTCTTTCAATTTTTATGCTTCTGCATTATATCATTATGAGTCCATTCAGCTGCTCATGCCTTTAAAGTTGGTTAAACTGTTCCATTTAGAGATTTATGTACTGGATTTCTTACAAATATGGAACATAATTGTGTGTGAATTATATTCTGAATACAGCACTTCTGAATCACTATGATGTGGGCCTCAGAGATGGAAATAGGAGGTCATTTGTGTTTGCTTGAGCTCACTGTGTAGCAGATGACTTTCATAAAATGTGGTGAAAAGTACTAGCCAGTGATCTTGTGAAATATAAAACTAAGTTAAACTTTTCAATCCCAGTTTCTAAATTATTTACTCCCTTTTTATGACCTCAATCCTGATGGTACAGTATCTTTTGCAAAATTATTTTCAGCCCAGTTAAATAACTTCTGATGTAAAAGACTCCATGACTGTTTGTATTTATTATCTTAGAAATATCCTCATTATGTAAATTTGGGATACTGAAATATGCAGTTCTTATACTCACGGCTGGAAAGCCTTGTTTCTAATTCCTGCATCAGCTGGAAAAAGGCCATGATCAGAGCTCTTTGGGTGTGGCAAGCTTGTCAGAAATTACCAGTGCAAAATAGCTTGGTATTTGGAGAGATTTTTGTCAGTGGGTCTGGTAAATAAGGAAAGTGAAAATAAAGTAGGCTAGTAGTGATTGATTATTGCTACTTAAGCCATTTGATAGGAAAAGTCATGCCTATTAGTCAGAAATATACTTGAATAAACATTCTGCTTCTCATTGTCCCTCCCTCCCTCTCTCCCTCCCTCATCCCTCCTTCTCTTTCTTCCTTTCTTCTTCTATCCATCCTTTCCTCTCTCTTGGCTTATTTCCTCCATTTTTTCTTTCCTCTTTCATTCTGCTGAGATTTTCACCCATGTCACTATTATGTCAATTATGTATTAATCTCCTATTTATTTGGTGTCAGCTTTGTCCCCACCTTGTCTGTTTGGCACTTGCAATACAGCAAAACAAAGATACCCTGCCCTCATGATGTGTATGATAGCAGGGTGGGGTTGGAGCTAAATCAGTTACATAAATGTAGCAAGAAGGAGAGTAAAGGAGGAAGGATGGTGTGTGTGTGTGTGTGTGTGTGTGTGTGTGTGTGTCTTTGTGAGTGTATGTATATGTGAGGGGGAGGGGAGAGAGAAGAAGAGAGAAGGTGGAGACAGGAAGAGAGACAGAGAGAAAAAGAGAGAGGTAGATTTTAGTCAAAATTGTCAAGGAAGAGTCCACTGAGAAGAGGTCAGTTTGAGAGGCAATCGGACAAGAGTAGGTAATGATTAGGAAACAACCCCAGGCAGGGTATAAAAACCTAAGAAGTCAGGAGTCAAAGTGTGCTGTGTAAGCAATGATAGAACCCTGGTCAGAAGGTAACAAGAAATGAAGACAGAAAAGTGATGGAAGAGTCTTGAAGACCAAGGCTTCTGTTTTGAGTTGAAGAGGGTACCAGGGAAGAATACTGTAGAGTTCAGAACCATTTGACTTAGATTTTAACAAGATTACTCTTGTCTCTTTCGAAAAGAGAACAATGAGAACCCAGTGACAGAATAGGATGCCAGGTTTATATAAGAGATGGGTGATAAAATAGGAATCAGAGAGCTGGACAGACACAGGGCACATTGGCTGGACAAGCCAATAGGATTGCTTTACATTAGACGTGTGAGCGAAAGGAAGAGAAGACCAAGGGGACATCCTGGGTGTGGGCCTAAGCCTCTGAGAAAATGGAATTAATGAGACTCAGTTGAACAAATTTGGGAAGAAGTTTCAGGAATGCAGTTTAAAAGTGATGAATTACTCGACACCCAAGGGAAGAGAATGGTTAGCAGATGACTAGGGGCAAAACTGTAGCTCATTAGTCAAACACTTGCTTACCATGAGCAAAGACCTAGTCGAAGTCTACATCACTACATCATTCAAAAACCTGCCTGATCTTACTAATTAAAAAAAATAAAATATGAAAATTGACAGATAAATGGAAACCCAATAGGATTAATCTATACCAGGAATTATTTAAATGACTCCCTTGGAATTCAATAGATTATTATTAAATAAACCAACTAATTTTGAATTAAAAGAATATCCCTTGGCTGGTTTATGTGAATAGACCAGTGAAATTATGAACAAAGAGTTTGCTATAGTTTCCCCAATAAGTCAAACATAAATAACTAGGTAGACAGAACCACCCATCTTGGCTTTCTGTTAGCATCATGGCTGTCTGAAGCATCATGGATCTCTACAGCTTCCCACTCCTTTATTTCTAAGCAACTTTCCACAGTCGATTTTGATTTGTTGGAATTCCTTTTAACTCACAATCATTTCCAAACTCAAGTCCCATTTGCACTTGCTATCAACCATGAATTTTTCATACTTCTTTTTAATGTACAATTTTCTAGCAAATAAGTTTATTACAGAAGAATGGGTAGTTCTATGGACAGAGAAAGAAATTTTATATAACTTTCTGTATCATTCCTTTAAAACTACATAATATATATATGCTAGTTATGTCAGATTCCTGACAAATCATTTAAAACAGTGAAAAAAAAATAAGGAAACGTTTTCTTTTTAATTGGTGACAGCTGTGACGATTGATTATTCCAGCACCTAGATCTGACACCCAGTGGGTATTCAATAAACACTTGTAAATATTGGAGAATTGACTCAGAAAAGTTGAATTGAAACTATGAGACTTACTGGTTGTTCATTTGTTATTGTTTGTTTCTTTTATTTGCCGTGACATTGAACTACATCATATTTCAATGGATATGTGTTCAAAGGAAGTTTCTGAAGACTCCATATATGAGCTTTGAAATTTATCCCTCCTGCCCCTTATTCTTATTTGTGTGTGTGTGTGTGTGTGTGTGTGTGTGTGTGTGTGTGTGTGTGTGAGAGAGAGAGAGAGAGAGAGAGAGAGAGAGAGAGAGAGAGAGATACACAGAGACAGACAGAGACAGAGACAGAGATGGCTGACTACTTGGAAATGGCCAATCTATTTGGGAACTCAGTTCTGGAGGAAATGGATCCTCCCTCTCTCATAAGTCCTTAATTGTCTGTGTCTCTTTATCTATCAGTAAGATATTTTGGAACTTCCCCTTTCTACATTCACATGGTCACTTGTAGTGTAGTGTCATCATGTAGGTCTTATTGAGACAGTCATATTGTTGAGATTTTATGGATACATTTGCCCTATCATGTCTAAGGGACACTATCTAGCAGATCTGGTCCTCTGTTTCCTACAACCTTTCCTCATTCTCATCTGTGATGTTCTTTGAACTTTAAGTGTATTGCAGGTGTATTAGTTGGGGTTGAACACTTCATGGTCAGTTATTCTTTATAGTTCGACCAGTCGTGGGTCTTCATAATTGTCTCCATCTGCTGTAAAAAGCTTTTCTGAAGAATGGTGACAACTATGCTTACTGGTGGGAATAAGGATAAGTATTTAGAATAAAGTTTGTAATTTTATTTTATTTAGAAAATTGGCTGTATTAGGTTCTCCTCTAGAGTTTATGACCTTTATTTCCAGCCATGGGTCGCTTTCTAGGTTAACAGTACGAGTAATGGATTCTCCATTGGTTACTCCTGAAAAGGAAAGTGCCACTAGTTGAGCATCATGATATCTTTCAGGTCTACCTGTGATTGTGGCTCACAGGCTTTCATCAGGGTAGAATTATTAATTTTTTTCTTTCACTTGGCAGATTGCATAGCGTCTTCTGAAACTATGAAAGCCAGTCCTTAAAGGTGGAGGCCTCCAGATCAGCTTTTGTTCTGGTAATGTAAGTCCTGTGTCCAAAACTTGTGGTGTCTGCTGTCCCACCCTGCACACATCTGTTCTCATCTCATCATGTCTTCATAACACTGTGCATTTATAAAGAAAGCAATCAATCACTGTAGGAGAGTCAGTGCCTCTGAATTCACAAATCATGGCACAGAACTCATTATTAAATGGAAGGCATTTTCTCGTGCTGTAGAGTTATGCATATGACTTAGAAAGAAATCCTAGCACATCTATGAGTCCTTAAGTGAGCCCCATAATGATTTTTATCATACTTTCCCCATAATCTTGCTTTCTATTCTGTATGTAACCATTGAAAATTTTGCCATACTTCCTTTAGAAAACAATATCAAATAAAACCTAGAAGTCAATGTTTATTGGTTGAAAGTAAAAGGTAAAATAGAAACACTAAGAACAAAAACAAAACAACAGCAAGAAAAACCAACATTAATAAACAAGTTCTCAAATCTCTTAGGATGTAAGATTCTTATTTTTCTCCAGTGAGTTGCTAATTGCATATTAATTCTTGTAATGATTATGGAGAAAAGATAGAATTAGAAATTCCTTATTTTCTTATCATAATTTCTCAGACATTGCTAACAGTTGTTTTTTTTTTTTTGTAAGATATCAACCAACATTCAGTGATCTTTAGTTTTCAACACTGCATGTGTGCATGGCAGTAGATATTCCCCCAACATTTTCTGAATCGACAGATTAAAGAATGAACTTGCACTGATTTTTTGCTTTTTTAATAAAAAATTAGGAAGCAAATTACAGAAGAATAAAATGAACAAGAAGCTTGTACTCTTTCAAATCTAATGATGTATTTCCTCAAAGTTGCCAAATCATGAGGAACGTGTGCAGCAGTTTTTAATAAAGTTTGACCTAAAGGGAAAGGAATTCAGATTCTAAAAGAAAATTCTCTGTCTTTACAATAGTTTAGCCTAGTTTTGGGGTAAAGAACTTAAGAAATTATAGAAAAGGAAGTTTGATAACCCATTTGGTATTAAGTTTATTTAGTATTATTAAGGCCATGAGCTCAATGGGGAAGGGAGACATTGTTCAGAAATAAGTAGCTTAAAATTGTCTACTGCATCTCGCTCTTAGATATCCTGACCCCTCTTTTGCCAGGGTTTGTGAGTCTCGGGAGGAAGGTTGTGATATAGATGTCCCACTTAGGGTTGAATACTTTTCAGTCTTTTCTGTACTTTGCCATTTGTGAGTTTTTGTGTCAATTATCACCCACTGCAAATAGAAGCTTCTTTGATAACAAGTGAGGGGCACACTAATTTTTAAATTTAGCAATAAGTCACTAGCAATAATTTTAATATTATGTCCAGTAAGCAAAATAATAGTAATGGGTTCTGTCTAAAGATCTAGGACTTGTCTAATCATAGGTTCTTTTCTATAATGCCAAGTATGGGGTTCATATTGGACAATAAGATTAAGTCCAATCAGAAAGTAGTTGGTTATTTCTGTGATAGTTGTGTCCTGACTGTACCAGTGGGCATGCTTTGCCAGGCCAGTCATATTGTAGTGTACAGAGTCTACATCTGGGTGGGAATGATAGCTGCTTTTCTCCTCTAGTAGCCTGCATGGCACTTCTTATCACTATGAAAGCAAGCCAGCAGGGATGATGCTTCCAGGTCAGTACTAGCTTTATAACTACATGTGGTATGACTCAAGAATGTGGTGTTTTCAGCAGCAGGGTCTCACCCTCACATTCTGAAGGGTAACTGTTTTCAGTTAGGCTTCTATTGCTGTGATAAAATCGTAACCAGAAACAATATCAAAAGGAAAGGGTTTATTTCAACTTTTAATTGTAGACATCCATGAAAGATAGTCAGGGCAGGAGTTCAAGGCATAGATCTGGAGTCAGAAGCAAGCAGGCAATGGAGGGACACTGTTGGCTTGCTTCACTTGGCTTTCTAATACTGCTTTCTTATACAGCCTAGGACCACCTGCCTAGGAGAGGTATTGCCCACAATGCGCTGGCCTTTCCTACATGAATCATTTATCAGGATAATACCCTGTGTTATTGCCTACAGAACCAGTCTTGTGGATATATTTTATTAATTTATTTTATTAATTAATATCCTTTCTTCTCAGATATGTCTAGGTTTATATCAAGTTGACAAAGGCAAATCAGTACAATCAACCCTTTGTCAACTTGACATGCAAACATATCACTTAATAAACCATAACCTTTCTTTTTTGATATATCCTCAAGGTTTTGTATTAGCATCATAAGATAAAACAAAATATAACTTTAAAGTCCACAGCCTTTTTTTTTTTTTGAGACAGAGTTTCCCTGTAGCTTTGGAACTCACTCACTCTATAGACTAGGCTTGCCTTAAACTCACAGAGATCTTCTTGCCTCTGTATCCCAAGTGCTGGGATTAAAGGTGTATGCCACCACTGCCTGGCAAAAGTCCACAGTCTAAAAAAAACTTTTAAAAATTTATTTTGTTTAAAATATTAAGCATCTTTCTTAAAGTCCATGCTTTGGTGCCTTAGCGTTGAAGGGTGCTTCTCCTTGGTTGTCTGTTTCTGATGGTTTGAGTTGGTGGAGTGCAGCACATGATGGTGGGAATACACCCTAAAAGAAAGGGCTCATCTCGGAGCTACAAGGCAGCAAAATAAGAGAGGAAGAGAATTACATTCTATTGTCCTCTTCAAGGGCATGCCTCAAAGTAGGCCCCACCTCCTAAGATCTTACCACATTCCAGTAATACCAGAAACTAATGTCCAAGCCTTAACATGCATGCTTTTGCAGGACAATTCAGATCTAAACTAAAGTAAAGGTTGAGATAGCTGCAGACCAAATACTGTCTTTGCAGGGTAGAAGAGTTTGTGAGACTATTAAGGGCTTGACTGATTTTATCAGGGATAAAAAGCACATGAAATTACCACAAGTGGGAACTTACATTAAGCTGTAAGTTCAACATTTTGTTTTTAATCACTTTCTCAGGATTAGTAATTTAATATCTTTAGTTCATGAAATTTCAGTGAGACTAGAGGGAATTGTGTTTCTCTTTTGGGAAGGTTTTAAAAGATAAGGCAACTTTTGGATTTGAGTATATAAAAACTTTAAATAATAAACTTGAGGCAGATCACAGTATTCACTGGATGCCCTCTGGACTCTATCTGATGCCTCTTGCCTATTTCTGATTTCAATTCTCTCCTCTGGAATGTAGGGACCCCTCAGACCCTACACTCAACCTACCAACTATTACAGCTAAACTAAACTGGATTATCAGTTACCTGACTCATTGCCAGTATATCTTAGTACAGCAGGTAGGAAAGTCTGGTGCACTGAGCTAGCCTGGAAAAAGGTTAAGATTCAAAATTTGTAATGTTATTTCTACTGAATGCATTCATTTTTGAGCAAGTGATTATTTATATCACATGATATGTTTATTTCTCAAAATCATAGAAACATTAGATAGTGTCTTAAATCTTTGATTAAATAATCAAATTAGTATTGTTCATGTAATGCTTATTTTTATACTAAACGGCAATTTTTAAATTCTTACCATATGCTAGTCAAACATGTATTCATATTTTAATTCTCACAGAGTCCTGTGAGGGAAAAACAAACAAACAAAAAAAAAAGACGCTGTACTTCAGATACCTTCACTATTCCCTTGTCAGTCAGTTTTCTCATCCCTAAACTTCCTCTCAGCAATGTTTACAGATTCCATGTAGGTGTTTTTGACTTCATGCCTCTCCATGCCAAAGAGTGTCTTTTTTTTTTTTTTGGTGTTAAAGAGAGCTTTAAACCTAACCTAAGGCCATAGTTAATTTTATCTTATTATAGTTGGGTTGCATTTTGATTTTATTCAACTTTGGGGAAGTTCAGTTAATCCACAAGAATTTACAGAATTCCTATGCAGTGGAGTTTATTGGTTTAGATATTCCAAGATTTGTAAGACAATGGCAAGAAATCACTATTTAAGTTAACCATGTCTCAATGAAGGAATTTCTTCTGAAGGATCTCATTCAGGTAAGATCTATTTTTAGAAATATTCCAAATATAAACCATGTGTTTAGCAACTAAATTTCCCTCTACAATTTTCTTTCCATAAATACTGTTTATCATAACATCTTTCCCAATAAAATACATTCTTTTAAATCTTATTTTACATTTATGTGTGTGTGTATGTATATATGCATGTGTAGGGGGCACATTTGCTATGGGATAGGTGTGGAGGATAGGGGAAGACTTATAGGAGTTGGTTTGCTTCTTTTACCATACAGGTCCTTGGGATCAAATCCAGGGGTCTGATTAGCAATGACAAGCAGCATTCTCTGCTTAGTCATCCTACTATTTATTTTTTTAACAAAAAAAATTCTTTGATATTCTAGGAACTATTATTACCAAGAACAAATGAGGTTAGTTATAAAGTATGTTTAAAGCATCATTATGATATCTTCTTGTTTGCTTTCTGTCGTTATAACAATACCCTGACCAAAAGCAATGTGGGGAAGAAAACTTTTATTTCTTTATATATGTTCAAGTAACAGTCCTTCCTAAGGCTAAGACCATGGGGGAATGCCGCTTACTGGCTTCTTATGGGTGGCTTGCTCAGCCTGCTTTTTGTGTTGTTGTTATACACCTCAGGACCACCTGAGTAGTTATTGTACCACCCACAGTGGCCAGGACATTCCCACATCACTCATTTGTCAAGAAAATTCCCCGGGTGACTCTAGTTTGTGTCCAGCTGACAGAACCTAGCCAGCGCATGATCTTTAAATTCCTTTGCATTAGAATGAAAGAAGATCGTTGAGCTAAGTTATGAGCAACTAGGAGATCTGTTCATTGACAGAGGAGAAGTTCCATGTATTAGTTGGTGCACATGAAGGGAACATGCCTGGCCAAAAGGTGCCAAGAGCTACTTATCCTGCGTTATATATCTTAACGCAATTTCTATACATAATTGAGGTTTTCTGTTATTGAGTATCCCTGTAAGTTTCTCAACAGGTTTTCCTAATTTGTTC